GAAAATCTCAATCTTCATTTGAAATGCATCTTAGACCAAGTTAAATGTGGTGGGCCGTTACAGGGGGTAGCTCATCCACTGGGACGTCGTGAACGAGAATTTGCACTTCAACTTTTTTGAGGACAAATTGGGAAATCAGGCTTCTCGGATGTTCTATTCGACGGCGAATCGGATCGACGGCCGGGCGACGCCGTTTATGAACGATTACAATACGATTGAGGACGGCCGTGATGGGGCTTCGTCCCCGGCTAGGTATTTGGGAAAAAAAAAAAAAAACTGAAAGGGGATCGATCGGAGTTTCCAGCAAGAAAAATTCACGAAACATATACTGTAGAAACAATAAATTCATGGGCGATTATTAATCTACAATAACTATAGAATACCCATGCTTCTCGAATTATTGCGTTTATGGAGGTATATTTACGTGATTTTGCAGCCCTCAGCCAAGATAGGTGCGTCTGCTTCTTGTGCGACAAAGGCCATGTTCCAAGGCACGGGTTTTTCCGGCCACAAGCCCTTGGAAGTCAAGATTTTACAAGAAAAAAAAAATACGGCAAAAAAGAAAGAAAAGATGACCAACTAGACTTTATGTTTTATGTATATCTTAGATATATTTTATGTATATGTGTGTTCTGAAATAGATTTTGAGAAATTATTGAAATTCGAGTGTATATTTAAAGTATATTGTATGTATATGTGGTGTCGCTGACTTGAATTACGAGAATCTCGAGTGTGTATTATATGTATACTTTATGTATATTTTATGTATATGTATGTTGTACAACTTTGGTATATACCCGCAACATGTAAATTTTCATATCTTATGGTAACATATAAAACATATACATAATTTTCATAGCCGAAAACATACAAATTTTTATATCGAAACATATACTGAAAATATACTCTATGTACCCACAACGTATACCCGCAATATGTACAAAATAGAACTATCTATCAACAAATCAAGCACACCAAGTGTTCGGCGATTATCCTCTGAGAAATTTTCCGTCAAAACATATTAAAAAAACTACATATTTAACATATATTGTACATATACTCATCATATACTGTTTATATACCACAACACAGCACAAGCAATAGAGGTGCAATCGATCTTTTTCTTAAGAAAAGATACGCAAATATACCACAAAAAAAAAGGATCTCCCTTCCATTGGCTTCTGCCAAGCATTTAAGCAAGAAATTGCACGAGCGTATTCCCAGTTCATAGCCAACTCTTCTAGGCTGTGCAAATGCATCCATTGAATTTTCAAAAAACCCATTTGAAGCAAAAACCTTGATGAGTACACTGACCACAAAACTCATCCCTTGTGTACCAGTAGGAGAATCTAATAGAGCATAAGATAAACAAAACAAATCGAGCTCAGCCTTCTGACAAAAACACACTACATATACTGAACAATTTAAAAAAAAAAATCTTTTAATATACTGAACATATACTTCCTATACACACCACATATACTACGTATACTACGTAAACATATACTATACATATACTATAGATATACTGAACATATACTCCAAAATAATCAAACGAAAAAATTCTCAAAAAAGATGTCATGATTTTCTTCTTCTTCAGGGCCTCGGGTGTTTTGACCTCGCTCAGCCTCTTCGTCTTCTTCTTCGCGAATTTCAATTTCAAACTTGAACTAATTAACATCTACGACACACGCAGCCATCGCCGAGAATCTTCATCCGCGAGTCACCGAACACGCGAGGTTTTCGTAGTCCGTCAATAGCTCTCTCGTGGGACCCTCTTCGCATCACATTCAAATCAGGAAAAAAGATAAAATGAAAACGAAAATAAACACTGCAAATCCATGGCGATGGTGTTGGGATGAAGCCACTGCCGTCCCTAATCCTCAATCGATTCCAAGCCATGGTGAAGGAGAGAGAGGAAAAACTTAAGGCTTTTAATGGTGGAGTCGTTTTGCCCTTGAGCACGGATGAAATTGTGCGAATTTACGAAGCGCATCATCACTGGGGAGGAGAACATCGGCGGATCTGTAGAAGAAGAAGATGATGAGAGAGAGGGAGAGAGAAGAAGAAAATAGATAGGGAGAGAGAGAATCCCATTAAATCTATTTTTACCATAATTAACAATAATTATCTGTTAATCAATAGTCTAGTATATTTGTAAATAAAAATCATAATTTTAGTTAATTTGCAAATAAATATATATGAGTTTTAAATGTGTAATAAAAATGTTAATATGTAGTGGAGAATGTAATTTCCTCATATATGTTACCAATAAGAGCCCATTGTAATATTCTAGCCCAACACAATAATTGAAGCCCAACTGCTTTAGCCCAATTGTGAAAATAACTAATTTTGGTATATGATCAAACGATGCACAGTCGACACGGGCGCATTATATATATAAAAAAAAGCAAAAATCTGTGGAAAAAAACAAAAAACAAAAAGTTGTGGAAATGGGTCAAACAGCCGGATTTTCAGAATCGGTTTTTCTAATTAAATTTTTAATTGAAAAACGGATTCTCAAAATCCGTTTTTAGTTTTGAT